TGAACCAGTACTACGAGGACTGAGAACCACACAAAACCGATTCACAGAAAATTCGTTTTACGTCTGTTGTTTTTTCCAAAGTTCGTCCGAATGAATTCTGTGTGACGAACGGTTAATTAAAATCAAGGACTTCCTGCCAATTGATCCTTCCACAGTTCGATAAAACCATGTGGTATCCAACGCAGCGAAAAATGTTGCCTCAAGACTGATGAATCTGAAAAAAGAAACATTTTAAACATAAGAATTAATTGCTAAATCTACTGTCTTTAAAGATTATACCCACAGTACCAAATCATTTACGTTATTTTTTCCCAAGTTAAGATTATTTAAACAAAAGTCCTAGTTTGTCTGGACAATATACTGTTTCTGTCGTAAAACGAAATGACCATTCACTTCAAACCGCCAAAACTCCTGGAAGAAAATACCATTTAAAAAAGAAACGTTGTATGCGAGATATGTCGTTCGTAGCACAGAAATGACTGAACCAGCAAAGAAATCCAGCAGCGCTTATGTTCAGAGGTGTTTCTTTTCCTTGTTACTTTCTGAGATGCGAATGGATTTTATCAGATAAAAGGGACGATCTTAGTGGATCACTGTCACTGTAACATGGGGCATCTTTATATGCAATTGGCCACAGATATGAAAGTAAAAATTGTCCCTGGGCTTTATATGCAATTGGCAACAGATATGAAAGTAAAAATTGTCCCTGCGCCTAAGCACCATGCTACGAAGGCGTGAATGCAAAACTCCAAAAATGCTTAACCTCGTTACTGGGCTTAAATCGAGGTGAAATTTTAGCTTCACGCTCAGAGACAAAGAAGAAACAGATAAGAGATAGGAGGAGAATGAAAAGGAAAAGCGAAGAAACTGAGAAGGAAAGGTAAGTAAAATAAAAGGAACAGAACAAGAAGTTGCTTACTGAAACTAAGGCACACACCACAAGGCGGGGGTTCACAACGACTCAGCACTTCCTTTGTCATGACTCAAGCGACTGATGAAATGCGCATTTGCTTTTGAGGGGCTCCTGACACCAAATCACCTGTTGCTGACGCAAGTAGTGAGGCAGAGGCCGTGCTCTTTCACCATGGTTTACGTCAGAAACGACTACACTCAACAAATTTGGCAGTGGGAAGAAGAAGGCTGTCTTCTGGGTTGTAACCCTGATGATGGAGGCAGCAAGGACTCTGAAATGCTGGTAGACTTCTACCACACTACACGTCGCTACGACCTAGAAGAAAACCATCTTCAGAATCACTGTCGTGAAAACCTCAATCCCTACTGAATTTGTTAATGGGTTTATAACGAAAATTACCGTGGAAAAAATCATTTAACTTCGTACCGGTCAAAATTTTGCGCTGTTCTATATGAAGATCGAATTAAATTTTACTTTCTCAAAAGGAGCTCATCGTAAAATAAATGGCACGTTTCATAAAATACAGACGTATTTGAGATTTACAAACTTTATTTCATTCTTGGATATCGTTTCTACAAAAAAATGCCGAATCATAAGCGAAGTCAATTTGAATGCCGTTCTAAATATTTGCATCCTCGAGAGACGGTAAAATAGTTAGCAGGCCTAGCGCTGAACAGAATAAGCCTCTGCCCTGAAGAAGGCTTTATGTTCATCCGAAATGTTAGTAACTGCAAATATGACTACACGGCATCACAACCCAAAGGCCGAGAGATATTTTTATTACCGTGATAACACCACCTTTCAAATAAACCCTCCACTCCTTTATTATAATTAGTCTTTAATCTGCAGCGTCCTCAGATAGTAATCACTTCTGACGCAAGAAGATGATGGTATTGACAAGTGATACTGAAGGATTAGCATAACCTTGCTGATTCGTGATTGGGCAACTATCCAGAATGTGAATAATGTAACAGGTATTAACACGCCATTAAATATGTTTATATGAACAACAGTTCGAAAAATTAAAAGAAAATGCATAATAAAGGACAGTAATTACTACGGTCACTCTGGTATTATGTTTGATGCAACAAGGCTACATCATTTATTCGAAAAAAAAGACATTTCAATGTTTTTTTCCCTGAAACACGTTTATAAACGTCATTTATCCACAAAGAAAAATCCAGTTGCAATGAGTTACACAACTAATCGTCTTGTATTGCTAAGACTAGTTCAGATGGATCGTTTGAAATGTTACTTTGTTCATTTCGACCAGTAAATAATGAACAGGAAAGGATGTGAAAGGAAAAAGATCACGGACCAATTTAAGGTACAATCCCGTAATTTACCTGAAGGAACTGGGGGATTCCACAAAATATCTCGGGGCCGAGATTTCAACCAGGGTCCTCCAGAAAATGAGGCAGTAGTGCCAACTACTCGACTGCGATGCTCCAAAAAATTATGTTATAAAATACATTTGGGAAATAAGATGCAAACTGGAGAGGGAAGCCTCTGTGGCTGTCACCTGGGTTTTTGGGCCGTGTGGTCTGGTAGTGCTTTATCGACGTTTCAGAGGTGCTGGCTGCCTCCACCGTCACTGCGAGCATCAGCAGCCACATACGAAATGTCGATAAACGTCTACCAAACTACACAGCGCCTCGAGAACTTGAAATCTCACCTCAGTGGATCTTCAGAAAATCGTTTCTGAGAGTACGAGGTAGATGAACAGGGCCAACAAGCACCGACGGTGAGTCCGGTAGTGACGTAGACAGAAAGATGGGTCTAAAGCAAATACAAATTTCCGCGGAAAGACCAGGCTGAGTGGACTTACCGATTCCTATAGCTGCAAGGACGAATAAAACCGGTGTCATCTAGTAATTATTATTTCTTACCGCGTTTCCAAAAGAAACACCTGAAATCTCCTCCAAACAGAACCAAATGAAAGACGAGATTAGCTGGACACGTAGCACGGGTGGCGGAGACGAGAAACAAGCACATACAAAATTTTAGTTAGAAAACCTGACGGAGAGTGATCACATGGAAGGCCTATAAGTACACAGGAGGATAATATTAAAATAGGTCTCTACGAAATAAAGAAAATATGCAAGCCCGGTTAGGACAGGGACCAGTGGCGGTTTCTCGTGAACACGGAAATAAACCTTCGGATTCCATACAGAAAAAAAAGACGAGATGAGAAACTACTAGCTTTTCAAGAACGGCTCCGCACTGCGGAATTAAAAATATTCCAAAACCACGTTTTCTTTGATCGCTCATGTTCGCCCGTCCGTCCGCTACAAGCAGCTCCCAAAGTACTGGACCGATTTCGACAAAACTTGAAATGAGGAGAGACTAGCCGAAACAAATAGGCTTAAAGAATCTTGGTAAGCGTAACAAGGAAAACCGTGAAGAAGAAGGACGGCTAATAACAAAATAAAGGCTATCTTAGGAAGACAACGTGGTGACGGAAAGTTCGTAAAATGGATTCAAGAATTGGTAAAATTCGGTGTTGACAACTGAATGACTGGAAAAGCAGTTTTTTTTTTTACAAATTCCTTGATCATTCTAAATTCACGATTATCCGATTTGCGTTACTTAGCAACGAAATCGATTGAAATGCATACCGAATACTTGCTTTCACAGTCAGGACACACAACTGCGAGTTGTGCAAGAGTTCTTGCTGGTCTGTGCACCGACTCCAAGTCCTTCACTTTCTACAAAACTTGGCATCTCAGTTAAGTCTCTGTTAGGACCCAGTTCTAACGGAACGAATCCCAAAGGCAAAATCACGGCCTGAAGTGTCTCCTGTATATCTCAGGGTGTTATTCGAACGGCTTATCTCCTACAATCTTTATTGTTAATCTTATCATTATCTTCCATCCTGACCTCAAGTGCTTACACACTTGTAACTGCCCTGACCTAATCGTCCAGTGATTGAAATTAGCTCATTCTGACAAACCGCACGCAGGAGACGCCCCTTCCTTTCACAATACTTGAAGAGGAGGACATGACGTGTAATTTTGACACCAGATGATGGACAAGGTACAAAACTCCTACAGCTCAGATCGTATTACGTAGTCGTCGTCATCATCATCAAAACCCTTCAGAACAGACCTAATTATGCACTGCCAAGGCACTGCAGTCATTGGAGAGCCTACCGAACGACTCGTCATGTGTTACCATGACACCGCCTCAATTAGGCCTACAGGTGTTATAAGACCAGATACGATAAAGATTTTGGCCTACTCAAATTTCCTATCCAAGCATTCATCAGCAGAGACTGAGGAGAAACATGAACATTTTCAAACAGTAGAACTGTAGCTAGTATAGGATTTGAAGGTTTTTACAGTGATGTGATGTAATGATAGCTTCTGGCTGTAGGCCACCGTTTCGGAGGAATCAAATGCTTATATCTTCAAGGTTGAATGCTGCGATAGCATAATTTAAAAAACATCATTCATAGCCTCACTGCTACTGACACGATACAACTTAAGAGAACAAGCGAGATTAAGTGCCAGAGGAATCAGCCACAATCACAATCAAACTAAACGAATGACAACAATTTTCTTTTGGTCTTCTGAAAGTTTCAAGACTTTATAAAGTAAATCCGATAACAGCTTACTGTGCCCAGTAATAACCAGAATTTTTGTAAATTTCCTCAAGTTTTAGGGCTAATAAATAGTTTTGCTGTGCTAGTCGGTTTCCCTATCTAAAGAGGCCAGACAGACAGACAAATATTGTACAAATCCTTCACTTGCTGTGTCATGCGGATATTCCTGTGCACTAATCTTCTGAAATTTGCTGAGTACTCTATGACGCAAGACACTGTTAGCTTAATTTATTACCACATGAGCTCCCGAGCTAAATAAATATTCGTGTGCCTTCACCAGACTCCAAGACGAAATAGTCGTATAAAGCAGCCACCAAATCCTTCAGAAATGAGGAAAAGATAAAATATTTTGTAACGACAGTAATAAGCCAAAATACATCAAGAGTAAGTTAAATATCACAAATGCTTGCTACCAGGCAGGTAAAACTATTTTGTCCTCCTGGCTGCAATCTCG